GCTCTAATTCATCCCAAAGGAGTTCTGTCAGGTTGAGGTCAGGACTCTGTGCAGGCCAGTCAAGTTCATCCTCATCCTCTGACATCCATGTCTTTATGGACCTTGTTTTGTGCACTGGTGCACAGTCATTTGGATGGGTGAGCAAATATTTTTGGCAATACAGTGTAACTTGAAAAATAAGCATCGTGACAACTTGCATTTTGGTGTGCAGATGCATCTAGCCGTAGAAAAGGTCCCCATCRAAAATTGAGTTGCCACGCCAAAATMCAAAATGGCYACCACCATAAAGATATGTAAACAGSCTCACTCATTTGACCAAACACATTCTAGTTTTTATATTGCTTCAAAGTATAGTTTACTTAAATGATTGGGGTAGCCAAAGCTGTGGTCACTAAGAGCTATAATGCACTGTACCAATAACAAGAAAGGTATCTGATCAATATTAYGTCAAATTATTCTGCTCAATAAATGCAGCACTGTTTGGTTCTTCTGAACAAGCTCCTTGAACTCATAAATCAGTAACTAAGCTTATTTAAATGTTGTGTACTAAATAATTCCACAGCAGTGTGACTCAAGTAGCTCTGAAGCTGTGGTAATGTCAAAATAATGTAGTTTAGATCGGGGGTGCCCAAACATTTTCCCCGAGAGAGCCAAAATGAAAATCTATCCGGGGCTGCAGGCCTAATGTGAAAATATAATACATAAAATAAAAAATACTTTTTAATTTACTTTACTTTTTAAGTCCATTGTTTTTAATGATTAAGCTAGCAGCCAGTGTGGTGGCCCACTTTTGTTTTAGTCTGTCCACTTGGAGAAAGTCTGCCATACTCTCAAGCAGCAAAGGCTCATGGAACATTTCATAAATTGATAAAATAGGAGTTTTTGTGGTCTTATAAAGTGTACAAATATACATGTGTGGTTAAATCTAAGCTAAAAATATCTTGTTGTTCCATGTATTTCATGTTTGATGTTTAATCCTAATATATCAAATATAAAGTCAACCACATGGATGAAATCTCTGCACTACAGCCTCTTATAGTCACTGGACCAATGGATAAATAATGACTTTAGKWGGWRRWAMTRYTRYTWCWWCWWCWWMWAA